ACCTGAGGCTCAGAGTGGTAATGATCCCTACTTTATATAGTCAACATTGAAGAACAGAAAGTAGGCCAGTTTGATTAAACAAGGTTGATGAAGTACACTTAAGAAAAGGATTTGAAAATAAAATATAATGCAAGGTTTAGAAAATAAATATAATGTGAGCCACATATATAATTTTAACTGTCCTAGTAGCCATGTTAAAAGTAAAAAGAAATGGGTGCAACTAATCTTAATATATTTAACCCAGTATGTCCAGAATATTATCATTTTAACATGTAATCAATATTGAAAAATGACTGAGATGTTTATATTCCTTTTTTTAAAAACCAAGTCTTCAAAATTCAGTGTGTATTTTACACTTACAACACACATTCAAGTGCTCAAGGACCCCATGTGACTGGTGGCTAAAACACTGGTATAACAGTGCAGTTAGAGCTCAGTCCTGTGAGGTATCAAATTGCCCACTCCCTTGGCTTGACCCAGCATTCCAGGTATATTTGCCTTTCACATGAACTTAAGTAAAAGGAATAATGGAACTGATTGATGAAGATTCCATGCTGTCATGATGTTCCATCTGCATGGCAGAAGGACCATTTCAAGAAAGATCAACCTGCATCCCCATTGGTCAGGTGAGACCCGTCTACTGCAGCCCTCTGTCTGAAGCATGCATGAGGTGCCTGCCTTGAGTTCCTAAGAGAAGCGGCTTTAACCCACCCCTATTAACCCCGCGCCAGTGGGCTGGACCTCTCTCTACCTTAGCCTCCAAACAAGGTGGTGGACACTTCTGCATAGTAATGAGAAAAGGTATCAGCCCCACCATGCAACTGCATGGCCATTTACCATGGGAAACAAAAGTGACACAAGGCCGAGGGGAGGATTGTTTCAAAAAAAAGTAAATATCCCTCAGAACTCATCTCCAGAGTGAATTCCTGGAGCTATGCAGACAAATCAGCTAGGTTCTTAGGGATTTTCCTCCTGACCTGAGAGCGATTATGGTGTGACTTGCAGTAAGCCGTCCGTCCCCTTCTCTGTGCCTGATAGGTATTTCTTCCATGTTGGAATGGGGCCCCCAAGCAACCAAGGCCCCCAGTGTAGGCTAAGCACATGTCTCAAGCCATCGAAGACCAATATATGGGCTGGTTGTGCCTCCAGTTCTTTCCCAGAACTATGCTTTGCTTTGACCTTCTCTCCAGGAGAGGAGGCTCACTGCTGGAGCAAATGTGTGTGGCTGATAAGTCACAGCCATTTCCTGGTGGTCTGCAGCCTTGGCCCTTCCTTGATGCTGCCCACGTTGGCAGACCACCTCTCCCATCTCCTGCTCAGCTGAGCAACTGTAGTGCCCCGTGGTACAGCCGCGGGCAGTACCGCACCCCACCCGGCCTGCTTTTTGTGGTCTCCTCCTTTGTGACTGCTATAGCATATGTTTTATTAAAAGGGAAAGAGGAGGGGAGACAAGAGGTTATGTACATGGGCATGCTCAAGAATCTTAAGACTGAAAATCTGCTCAGTGTTAAATGTCTAAGGGGTTTGTCATTTTGCCTGCTGCAAGAAAACCCCAACAGGGACACTTGGGTGGAGAAATAAGAAATGGAAGAAAACCAACGCTCTCTTAGAAATTCTGATTCTAAAACAGGAAAAGATTTCCTTGTGTTCTATTGAAATTTGCCTGCTTTCCCCCAACATCTTCAGCCAAACCTTTTGATGTGATATTGATAAGCCCCTGACCTTGAACGGTGTTTTCCCATAATATATGGACTCAACTTGAGAGTGGCGGAAGGCGAGGTAGTTCTCAATGCCTAATGAGATATCCAACATTTCAGAATCCTCTTCCTGGCGCAAGGGAAGCTTCCTCTGTCAATATATGCTTCAAATAATTAACCCAAGTGTATGATATTTCCAGGATCGAAGTGGAGAAGCGGCTTAGGGCAAACCCCAAGGAAACGTGCAAACCTCAAAGTTTCCAGCCCTGTCGGCTGCGCTGTAGTTAGCCTCTCTGTCAGCTGGAATCCTTTCCCCACTTCTCCCTATCCAAACAAATCTCACCCCATCTCCCTTGGCACAATTCTGATTCTTCCTCCTTGGAATACTGATAGATCTCATTATTTGTATAAATCAATCGTACATTAATTTGGTCAGCCTCATGAATCTCTTGCATTGAACTGCCATTTAGAGTGTATATTGTCATTTACCTCTTCTCCAGATGTAAAGCTATTTTCCTAACTAGACTGTAAGATCATTGAAGGCAAAGGCAGTCTTATAAGACTTTTGTCCCTCACCGCCCTTCTGTAAGTGCCAGAGAAGCCCTCTGTCACCAGAACCTCCCATTCCTGTAAAGTACAGAACAACTGAATCATATCACAGCTACTAAGATGAAACCATTTCTTTGGAGAAGTCAGTCGAGTCTGTGGTTGGTTTAAGAGTGATGAGACCCAGGCACCAGCCCCTAGGTTCCGTTCCTTGCTGTGTGACCCAGAGCAACATAGTTCACCTTTCTGAGGTTCTCTTCTCTCCCTTTTCCCAGCAGGAAGCTAAAATCATTCTAGCTCTACTTCTTAGGGTGATCAGAGATAAATGAGACAATAAGCTATGTGAGGATTAGTTAGATGAGCTCCCTAAAATGCCCTCAGCCCTTTGGAGAAGGATACCATTATAGAATGTAAACAAGTTCTTATTTAAGAGAAAGAGTTGAATCACCAAAAAATACACTGCACAGTGGGGAAAACAAAACACTAACCAGGAAACCTCCACACTAAGCATCCCAGTCAGCAGAAAGTGCCCACGCAGATGGCTCAAGTCCCTCCAGATTACCTCTTGTTTGTGAGCTGGGCAGGGATTTTGGAGCACCGTCTCAAAAGGGATCTTTTTTATGTGATGCTCCCCAGTGGCTAGACTGTGCCCTGGGAAAGGAGATTAGAAGGAGTTGATGACGCAGGGATGTGCTTTGCCCTCTGGTCTTGCTCAGTAAACAACCTGTTAGAAGGCCAGAAAGGAGTGCCCATAGGATGATCTTAAAGGCCAAATAGGAGCAGACGCCCCTATCCATGAGGCTGGCCAAGCAGGGACCCTCCTCCCTCTTTTCTTGTGCCCACACTGCAGCACACATCACTCCATTCTCAGAGGCAATGCCAGCCCCCCTTTGGTGGGAAGGGAGAAGCAAGAGTCAAGGATGCTTCTATCTTCTCCATGGCTGCAGCTCAGCTGCCCAGCCCTTTGGAATCAGCTTCCCTCCAGCAGGGAGGATCACCGCCTGACATTCACTTCCTTTCCCTCAGACAATTCACAGTAACTGTGCTCTGCACCTACTCAAATCATATCCCCCCTAAAAGAAGCAAAGCATGCCACTTTCCCCAGAGTAGGCAGCAGCTATGATATCAATAGGATTTCAGGATCACTGGGGCAGCATTGCTTGGCCGTGCTCCCAGTGCTGCCAAGCAACTTATTCTGGGTGAGAGGGAACTCCGGAGGGTCCTGCCTTAAACAAATAACATGCACACAACTGTGTGAAATCAAGAAGGAAAACACACAAACTCCAGCATCACTTTGCTGTTGCCTGATGTCATCAGACTGCCCCCCAGGGGATTTTGTAAAATACTTTAGCTGCTTGGTTAATACTGGAATTGCATGTGTTCTAGAGAGAGTGGTCAGAAAGAGTGTCCCTTCTACATGTACATGTCTGGAGAAGGACAGAGGCAGAAATACTTGACTAACAATGTACCTTTTATTCTCCTCATTGTTCTATGCTGACATATAATTGTTCCTGCTAGATAGGGCCCTGATTGCCCAGTTTGAAGCATGGCCTGTTAGAATTGCTATGCTTTTAACAAAACATTTGTTCCTGCTCTGGGCACCCGGCTCTCAGGCCTAGGAAAAGCACACACACAGTTCTTTACAGAGGGGTTGTTCAATCACGTTACAGTGCATTAGCTTGATTATTACTTAACATTTGGTTTAGGTCTATATACCCTGGATAAATATGTACCATGCAGAAGGACCGCTTGGTGAGGAGAAAACTCCTCTGGGCTGGAACAGCAGCTCCCAAGTTCGTGCTCTCACTAGGAAGGAAGACTCCAGACATTTGGGGCCTGGGCAGAGAGCTGCACATGCATGGTTCTCCTGTCGGCAGCCTGTTTCCTGCATACAGCTGTGAGCACAGGCACACACACACACACACGCGTGCGTGCGCATACACACACACACACACACACACACACACACACACACACACACACACATTGTAGGCACCATTAGACTCTACCCAGATGAACACAGAACCAGGGAGAGAGAGATTGCTAGATAATGTCAGCATGCCCATCGCCCATCCTTCCAGCACAGCAATGCTCTCCCGGGCATCTCCAATGTGCTGCAGGCTCAACTTAATCACTGGGGCTTCTGCCACCACCCTGGGGAGACTATTTGCAACCTACAGGGTTCACTTCAGAATTTTTTTTCTTGGCTACCTGTGCATGAGGAGAGAGACAGGTCTCTACAGATATGCCACAGAGCCCTGTGAATGTATGAATATAGCCCTATGAACATGTGACTATAGATGCATCATGTACCATGACCTCAGCTTTTCGGGGTCCCTCCCAAACATAGCGAACTGAGTACAGTTCAGTCTGGCATCTGGCTCTGCAGGCAAAAGTCCTCGTCATCTTCTGCAATTATGCAGCCCGATTGGATTTTCTGAAGCTAATGGGAGTTGCACTAACTTTGAGGACTCAAACCAGGCAAAAGCAATATAGGTCAGGCAGAGTGCCCAAGCCGTGTGACAGCCATGCAAAACCAGGAGGCAATAACAGGGCTATCTCTAGCAAACCCCAAAGTCCACCACTCAGTTCCACAAGACAGAAACTAAGAGGGCTGAGGGATCACTCCCTCCGCCTGCATCTGCCAGGCACTAGGGCAAGAGGGTTGCAGGAGGGCAAAACTCTCCCTTTACAAGGGACACACCAAAGGACAACGAAAACGAGATGGAGAAAAATCCCCAAACCCCGCGCGGTTACCTTGAATCCTTGCAAGAGCCCTCCTTGCTGTATCAGCTGCTCCCCAAACCTCCCCCGACTGGGAGGAGTCTCCTAAAAGATCCCAGGTTTTTGTGCAACATCTTCGGTGGCAGCTTTCCAAAGTTTTTACTTCATGATTTCTGGCGGCTCCTTCTCCTTTGGGGAAACGCAAATGCCTCCCCCTCAGCGTGTGAGAGGGAGCGGATGTCTCTTTTCAAATTCTCTAGCTCCCGCTTTGCTGCCGCCGCCGCCGTTAGACCCCTTGCCTGCCGCCTTCCCGCCAGGCAGCAAGGGTCCCAGGCACGCAGAGCATGTTCCAAGGGGGTCTCGGCGCTGGGCCGGGGCACACGCAGCGGGAGAGGGAAGGAAAGTGCAAAGCCCTACTGGGGGAGTCCCCTTTCCCTCCACCGAAGAGAACCCACGATCTTGCCTTTCTTGTAACTCTAAAGAGACTCACCGCCCTCTCCCTCTCCTGGAGTCACTGTGGTGCACAGGGCAGAGACAGGTCCTCCGACTTCACTGCTCGCAGCCTGCAGACCTGCCCCTGTGCTCGCCCCGCATGGCAGGTGCACATCCCTGGGCAAGTCCTAGCGGGGCCCTCCGAGCTCAGCGGAGGCGCCGCGGAGGCAGCCGAAGCAGCTCCCGAGGCACAGGGTTTCCATCTCAGGGCTGCAGCCAGGCGCGTCCCCGCTCCGACTACGCGCTCCGCACCTAGGCAGTGTCACCTGCAGACTCTGACACCAGATGAGTGTCTTAAGATAACAATGCTGCCCTGCCTGCCTCTCTCTTTCTTATGCACGTACGTTGGCAGCCAATGGGACGCAGCGCCCACACTCTCCCCGGACGCCCATTGGCCGGGCGCTAGGCAGGGGGCGGGCTCGGGGTCTCACCGCTGTCTCCTTTGGGGAGCTGGCTGGCTGGGGTGCCAGCTCTGTTAACCCTCACGGCTTGGCAGCAGGGACTTTTTGGTGTGGACTAGAAAGCCTTGGATAAATTCACGGCTGGGGAGTTGGAGAGTGTAAGAAGGCTTGAGGAACAGAAGAAGCCAGGGAGCTAATTGCATTTTCTTCTAATCTTCCTGAGTTACAATAATCATTTATCCCAGACCATTTTGTTTGCTTGCTTAACTAGAACTCCCAGAGATAGGGGCCCATTTGAGCCATTTTCCTTCTAATTGGAGGTTTTATTCAGTTGTTTTGTGCATTTTAGCTTCTTGGTCCTGAATTACTTAATTAGAAATGAGCCCCCAAGTGAGAAATACAATGTACACACACACACACACACACCAACACTCACACACACACACACACACACACACACACACACACACACACACACACACACACACACACACACACACACACACACAGATACCAGATAGGGAAAAGATAGTAGGAACTCAGAAGAGTAGAAGGGGAGAGAGAGAAGAGAACCAGATTTAGAGACTCCAAAGGGCTAAATCAAACATTTTGTCTGCACAGCAGGGTTGTGAAGACAAAGGTAAAGAGATGAAAGGGGGGGAAATGTCCTGTTTCCAAAAAAGCGAATTGTTTGGCCTGTGGTGTTTTCCTTCTGTGGGTCTCCTTTCACTTCAGTGTGTGTTACGAAGAAGGACTGTGGGTCTCCACTTGGTTTTGGAGCCCTGGGGAAATCAGAACAGGGCCAGCCTTGTTTCTGTGAAGCAGGTGCTGTTGTGGGGCCTGTGCATTTGGCGGGTGGGGAGAGGAGAGGAGAGAGAAAAAGAAATATTAACTTTGCATCAAAGACTGAAATGTATTCTTGATGTCCTAATGAGAATGCAAAACTAAATGAAGCTCAGCTAACTAGAATGCTCCACTAAATTTTGGCAAAAGCATGGGAGAGCAATAATTGAAGACAAGTCCGATTCCACAGAAGAGCTAAGGGTTGGAGTTGGCAAAGGAATTTGGTAGTTCACAGTAAACTGCGGTGGGGGAAATAGGAGAGGGGAATACATAGAAAGTGAAAGAAATGTTTTGGTTTAGTTTCCTTAAATGGAGAGGAATATCAAAGCTTATTTTGTAAAAAACTGGAAGAAAAATAAAAGCTAAAAAAGAGAAAAGAATGCAGAGGATTAATGGATGCCAAAGTACTATAAATCAGCATTAGCCGAAAACTATCGGGGAGGCACATGTTCTGAGTGGATGGGGAGAACTTATAAACATTTCTCAGATACATACCCTCAGTGCTTTAGAACACATCTATCCCTTTCACCTTTATCCCCCCTCCATATCTTGTAAGGCTTACCTTCCTTCTCCACACTGTAAGCATCTGCTTGCCTAAGCTATACAACATAGTAGAGAATGGTGTCTTAGGTCCCCCAGCTCTCCTGTAGTATAAAAACATCCACAGGGACCAGTGACAACCTAAATTGGTGCAACTGCTGAGGTCTTTATTTCTGTGCTTCCTACTAGAGACAGAGACCCCCTGAACTTGTCCCAGCTGATAAGACACCACCTGTTGAGAGTTTGTAAGGTAATAGAAGGGAGTGGGTAAATGGAAGTAGTTGAACAAATGATCACCAATTTCAATGGAAAGGAAACAAAAATTTCTAAGATGTCTAAAAGAGAAGGAAAGGGGCTAAAGTTGGGAGATAAGAAAATCTAAGAAAAGAAAAACTTGCCATGCTTTCTTCTCCTATGGAGCCCTAATCTGTGTTAAAAAAATTAATGAGGTATAATATACATTAAAAATTCTACAAGTATACAGTTTGATGACTTTTTGCTTAGATAGGCATCCATGTAACCCCAACCTATTATTATTCCCAGCACCTTGGGGAGCTAGTCCAGCCTTTCTCAGTCAAATTACCCCACTATCCAGAGATAACTACTATTCTGACTTTCATCTTCAAAGAATTCATGTTAGTTGTTTTGGATTTCATAAATATAGAATCTTAGAGTATACACTCTTGTGTCAGCTTTCTTTCAGTTATTTAGTCTGTGAGGTTTATCCAGGTAGTTGCATATTTTTCATTGCTATGTGCTATTCCACTGCATGCCTATATGCCATTTACTTCTCCTTTTCATGCATATTTGGGTTGTTTCCATTTTTTTTTTGTCTATTATGAGTCAACCCACTACAAATGTTCTGTGCACATCTTTTGGGGACATATGTAATCAATTATCTTTCATGTACACCAAAAAGTTTAATTCACCTAATTTGCTTTTGCCTCCTACGTGGGAGAAAATCCCCTGAAGAAGATTCTGAAGCCTACTCCCTTTCTGAACGAATTGAATAAAGGAATAAGGTCAAAGGCTATCACTGCTGAGCACCAACTAACTGCTTAAAATGTGTTAGATCCTTCACATACATTATCTCATTTCCTCCTTACTACTCTAAAAAGCATGCATTATTATTATTCCTATTTTGCAAGTAAGAATTTTGAATGTAAGACATTTTACTAGAAAATTGCCTTTGGCCTTGTAAGGTGAATGAATGTGTGTGTGTGTGTGTGTGTGTGTGTGTGTGTGTGTGTGTGTGTGTGTTAAGTGCTCTGTGAGAGAAGCTAAGAGAAGAGGAACAGATAAAAGTTCTCACTGCATAGATAAGGCTGGAGATTGGTCTGTGGAGATGGGATGATCTGGAAAATAAGAGTGGTGCCTTCCACATGGATTGAACAGTGGGGGGAGTGAAAATGGAGAATGGGCTTTAATGTAACTGGGATATCTATGTGTTGTGGGAGGAGGGGCTAGATAGTGTAGTAAGCACTAAATCTAAGAGAATATATAGTGTGAGATTTGGAAGAGTTTAAAAAATTTTAAACCATGCCTAAACTTTATCCTGGAGGAAAAGTAATATTTTAGAATGACAAAAGCAAGATTCAATGAGGATCAACCTGGTAAAGAATAGGTTAATGGCAGGGAAAGCATTCAAATGATATTACAAGAGGCAAGGAAAGGAGTCCCTGGTACTTGAATCTTGAATAGTTGAGTAAGTTGAACCTGAGGAGAAAAGTCAGGATTGGAAATAACAGAACCTGCTATTTTTTATATACTGTCTTAGTGAATATAAGTACTTGCACTTATATAATCTGTGGCCTGGAGGATGGGCCAAGATCACTGACTCATTTTATTGATGGGGGCACTGAAGATAAGAATGGTCCAGTCTCACCTCCAAATAAGCAAATTATGGAGGTAAGACTGGGATTAAAGTTGGCTGTCTCACTACCTCATTTTGTCTATACACAAAGGTACTAATAGATGCATACAAATTTCTCCCAGTCCCATGTAAAATATCATACAGTAGTTATGGTCTGGTTTCTATGACCTTCAACCTCTCCCCTATCTCTAGGTATTTAATTCTTCAAGAGGATGCCATGTGATGTGACATTGCATCCACGTTTACAGGAGTCCATGCTCTGGCGAAATTCGATCTCTTTTTATTGTACTGTTTTCTGGCTGCACCCTTCCATAGGGTCAGTGGTCTATAAAGGCTTGAGACACCAACTTCCGATATTTCCAACTCAATACACATTTTTCAATGTCCATTTAATTCATACACTCTTTTCTTGTCCATGTGAGTAAGAAAGCATGTAAAAATGACTATGGATAGGCAAAGAATTCTAGACAGTGACATTAGAAAACCAACCCCAAATGGTCACTTGGGCTTTCTAAAATGACTCAAGACACTTCAGAAAATTAGAAAGAAAGATTTCAAAATAATAATAGAATACATGTTACTCCAAGCAGGAGGAATATTTTTCCTCTAGAATCTGTCCATGCCTTGCTTCATGCCCAGCATATGGTAGGTATGTCAATGTTTACTGAAGGAATTACTGCGCCCATCAAGTCCATTGCTTATCCTTAGGTGTGCCTAGGTGTACTGTAACTGTGGAGTGGACAGATCCTGGGGTAATGAAATCTTGTTTGTGGTCTTAGCTCCACCTCTTCTCAGGAGATGGATCTCGGGTAAATCATATCACCATTTCAGTGGGTTCAGTTTCCTCATCTGTTAAATGAGAGATTGGACTAACAGTTTCATACCATTTTTCACATTATAGGACTAAGTGTGTTTTCCTGGCATCTACTTTAGTTTTAATGGTAAACCTTGCCTAACTAAGTTCACACTGTTTTTTATGCTGGGGAGAGGAGAATAAAAAGTATCCTGTCTTTCTCTCCCTCATTATACCTTCTAGAGAAGTAATGAAGATGAGGATGAGTTTTAGAAAGGTCATTAGCTAATGAATCTTGTTTGCAGTTGTTTACAAAGCTGCATGTTAAAATACCTCTGGGTTAGTTCTCAGATAGTCACATTCAAATGACTCAACTTGTAACAAACTATTTTTGTTCATTCCTTGAGATAAACAGATCTTTTGCCTCTTCAACATGACCTTAAATATGGCTCATTTTCTCTGTTCCCATCTATCAGCTAGAGTAACTGCCTAAAACATGTGGCAAAACCTTTGTTCTTTTAGAGGACATACATTCACATATGCTAGAAAATTGACATCAGGTAGAATGAGAATGAAATTGGATCTAAATGGGGGTCCTCTTTTGAATTAAATTCTTAGAGAGTAGGAACTACCTACACCAGTCTCATAACACCTGGTATTAAAATTAGCATTGAATAAATGACGTTGGAATAAACTTTGGAATAAGTTACTGGTTATCATGTGAGAGAAAGTTCAGTTAAACATCAGATTCCACAAACAAATGCCACTTTTCTCCTACTGTTTATTGCACATTGTTAGTATTTTGTTAAGGCAACCCTGCCCTGCACTAATGGAAATAAAACATGATTTTTTGTTACTGTTACCTGCCCAGTGCTACTCCTGGTTGGGCTGGGACTGACTTGGTCCATATCCAATATATTCTTTTTTTCCTTTTCCATTTGCTGAGGGTGCTTGAAACTAGTTTTCTCACATTTTCTTCCAGCTCTGTTCTATTGACTAGGTTCTCTAAAAGTAAAGGCTCAGTATTTCTTGGTGCTCGCTGTACTTTTTCTATCAATCACAGCATTCCCCAAATCATCTTTGTATTGGCTACGGTAGATGGCATTTGTAACAGAAAGGAAACCAAGAGGCAGAGAGAAGTTGCAAATAAAAGTTCTGGCCTCCTCCTTAATTGTATACAGTACATTGGTTTTGTTCGTTGTTGCTATCTACCTCTTGATCTATCTGTATCTATATACCAAATATTTCCTTTAAATATTTCTGCAAAGGTAGTGCTGAGTAAAAACACATACGTGCATTTACCCCAGCACCTGCTTGTCCAGTGTACAAATCCAACTAGTGGGTAAAAAAAAGACAAGAAAGGGACCACCTACATCCACATACTAACTGGGGGTGGATTTGCTTCTAGAGAGACCCCACCACCACCACCTGCTCTGAGAAAGCGCCTTTTAAGGTGGGTGCGTGTGAGCCGATTCCAGGCCATCTGGATGATGATGTGAGGGCAAAGATTTTGCATTGCAAAGATCGATTTTTTAAAAATGCAGTGCAGGTAGCTAATAGCCAAGACTGTGTTCGTGCTGGGGGATGCAAAGGAGGAGAAAGGCGGCAGCTTGCTGGGGGCTGACCTGATTCCCTAGAATCCTGGGCTCTCTTCCTCTTTCCTCCGACGTCCTTCCTCCCCCTTTTCTCCCACCCACCTCCACCCCCTTCCCCTTCCCCAGATAAGCAGCTCGGGGAAACAAAGAACGCGGGCTCTCTGGGCAACGGCGCGGAGCCCAGCACCCTGCCCGCCGCGCCTGGTTCCGGGACCAGCTCCCCCGGCCCGCGTGCTCCGCAGCCTCCCCCGCCTCCCGCGCTCGCTCGCTCGCTCCCTCCCGCTCGCTGCCTCCCCCACCTGCCAGGCTGGGAGGACGGCGCCGGGGCTCAAGATGGCTTTAGCCGGGCTCTGCGCCCTGCTCGCCTGCTGCTGGGGGCCGGCGGCGGTGCTGGCCACGGCCGCGGGCGACGTGGACCCATCCAAGGAGCTGGAGTGCAAGCTCAAAAGCATCACTGTGTCGGCGCTGCCCTTTCTGCGCGAGAACGACCTGAGCATCATGCACAGCCCTTCGGCCTCCGAGCCCAAGCTCCTCTTCTCGGTGCGCAACGACTTCCCGGGGGAAATGGTCGTGGTGGACGACCTGGAAAACACGGAGCTGCCCTACTTCGTGCTGGGTGAGTCCTGGGGGAGGTCGCGGCGCCCGAGGCGCGGGCCCGGCGTCCCCACCCCCACCCCGGCTCGCACTGAACACCCGCTCGCGCCGGCCTCCCCTCCCCCACGCCTGCCGCCCTGGATCCGCCCCACGCCTTGACCGCGCTCCACACCCACTTGCCGGCGAGGGCCGGTGCGCCTGACTTCTCCCCAAATCCGACCGGGATGCAGGGCCCTCAGCCTTCCCTCTGCCGCCCTGGCCCAAGACACAGGTTGCATGGGGCTCTCTGACACCTTTCCCAGCCTTGACCTCCCAGCTTTCTTTCAGGAGCACATTGACAGAGCACTTCTTGTCTGCTTCCAGCTCAGCAACCATAAGCCTTCCCCGTGCGCCCAGCCACATGTTGTTCAGTTCTTTATTCACACCCCCTGGGCTCCCACCCCGACCCACAACTCCTGGGAGTTAGAACCAGGTAGCCCGTTGTCACCTTGCCAGGCATATGTAGGCCAGATGGCACTGGCCACATCTCTCGTCTTCACTCCTTCAGGATTCTTACCTGTCATCAGGTTACTGACTCTTTGGGGCCCTGCTTCAGCGCAGTGAAGTTTCCTCCACCACTGGTGCCCATCCTGGCAAGCTCTACCCCCAGGCCTACATGTGACAACCTTCTCATTCAACCACCTCCACATCTCCACGTCACTTCACAGTTCTTTGGATAAAGAAATCACCACCCAACTGTAGTCTGTTAACACTGATGTCTTCTTTGTTCTCAGCGCCCCCTTAGGTAGGCATAGGTGTTCCTGCACACAAATTGACCTTCCTGGGCAAGAGGCCCTTCCTTCTTTTCTCTCTCCCTCTTGGTACGCCTATTTTAATGTTCTTGGCCCACAAAACTCCTTCAGATACTAGAACCTCTACATCACTTCTAATCCACTCCTCTTCATTCACTGCCAAGCTGCAAAGATACTGTGGTCCTGCTCCAGCATCTTGCAGAGCACCAAGGGGTCCTGTGAATTCCTTAAGCAACATTTCCCTCACTTCCCCATGTGCAGATGGATCTCTCACTATGTTGTGCATGTCCACCATGCAATCCATTTCTTTAGTGATGCCATAAATCCTTCTTGTTTTGCTCAGGAGAGAATTCAAAAATAATCATAAGTTAATCTCTCGACCAAAAAAAAATTATACAGGAGGCTGTTCCATTTACTTAATGACCTGTGAACTAGAGTTCACGTTGCAGGAACATGGCTTCCAGATGGCCCATCCATATGTAGGCAAGAGCCACAAGTGGAATGTTATCCAACTTCTCCCTCATGCTCTTTCTTCATACTGAAAACATGAAGAAGTGGGTGAGTAAACCCCCACTGCCCAACTCCTATGGAAAAGCAATTTCAAAAATTGCCAGGTCCTTTGAAAAGTTGGTTTACTATTCCTGGAGTGCAGCTCAGTTGACTCCATTAAGCTCAACCTACACTCTTGATGGCACTATTTGTTCTTGCATTAAAAACATACCAATAACAATAAAAACTGGGGGCCGGCTGGGAATAGGGACATTGTAAATACGCTGCTCATTAAAATGTGCGATTGCTGGGTCATTCAGTGCATGTAATTTTGTGTGGAAGTCATGCTGATGTGCAAGTACAATCTGTTCATCATAGTCTATAAAGATGAGTATAGGGAATTACGTGTTTCTAAAGAGCCTGTCTTGGGCTGTATATGTAATGTTGGCTGTGCATGGAGAGGGAAATATGTGGCACATGGAAAAACGGACACTGAGCCAGCAGGTATTCAAAATTCCACTTCCTTTTTGCAGGATCCCCAAGCCAAGGCCTAAAGCCATGATGTGCCTACTAGAATCCAGGGTGCACAGCAAAGCCCAGATGTTAAAGAATGGCTTTTCTGCACCTCTGTGCAAAGCTGCCCACTGCAGCACCCTGTTGGAGTTGCTATGGTAACCTCCTGCAACTTGGCATTCACATGCAGGAACAGACACACTCTCTCACTTCAGGGCCAGATGCATTTACTAAATGCATTGATTGTCCCCTGCCTGGTCAATAGGGGTATGTTTAAAACCAGAGATGGGCTGGTACCCTTCTGGACCAGTATTCCGAGGGAAAACAGGAGGTAGAGCAGAGTTGAGCAGAAAGAGAAAGCAGTCCAAGTTCATGGAGGGTAGACTCAAGTATAGCTGCTTTTGAAGCTAACTTTTGTGGTCCTGGATTCTCTCTCATGGCGAATGATAAGGTCTGTAGTGATTTTGATTTGGAACCTAGTTTGCTTAATCCATCCCTTGGAGGAATATCAATCAGTCAAGCCCTGGAATTTACTGAGCATTCCCTTGCTTGCTACTCTTAGGCACTCTTAGGGTACAGAAGTTAAAAAATATAAAAGGCTCCTACCCTCAGGTCAGTGGGAACACAGACTGAGACACCTGTAAGGGCTGTAGGTCCTAACACCGGATTGTGCGGTATGGCTGTTGCAGGTGCAGGAATGCTGAGGAAGGAGGTACTTGTGTGATAAGAGAAGGCTCCATCGAAGACATGGGCCTGACTAGGGACCTTGACCAAAATCAGATCCTTTGGTTTCCTTTTGCCTCCAGGATCATGTCCTGTCATTCAGTGAGGCAAACAAGGGTCTTCTTCTGACTACACCCAACTTCTCCAGGCTGTTATCCCTACAGGCCTGCTGTGGCCATTCAGAATGCTTTCAAGACTTTGCACATGCTGTTCCCTCTGCCTAGATGGCTCTTCCTGCCTTTTCTATTTGGCAGTCATCCATTCTTCCTTCTGACCCCTGCACACGTCATCTCTCTATGAAGCCTTCCCTACCCTCCCCAGAGAGTCTCAGTCCATTCCATTAAAAAAAAAAGACACAAAACATAAATGAATGTAATTAAACATGGATTTGGCTTGGCCTAGGAATGGAGAAGCCATTTGAAGTTGTGAAAAGAAGATGAGCAAAGGATGGTGGTAGAAGCGAACGTGAGTGAGCATGGCATGCATGTGGTGCAGTGTGGAGATCTGCCTTGTGGTACGAGAGTTGAGAACACTGTTGAGAATGGTTCTCCACTTAAAAGCCAGGCAGGGGAGGGCTGCCTTGACGTAGAAAGCAGTGGAGCCTGACTCCCAGTGACTCTCTCAGCCATCAGTGTTGTCAGTATTGCTTGTAGGATAATCCCGAGGGGCAGGGGAGGGGATGGCAGTGTCTCCCTTTCTCTGAGGTAGGTTTGCAAATTGTGGTGCATGGGCCATATGTGACTTGCAGTTGTATGTTGTTCGGCTAACATGGCTTTAAAATGTTTTGAATTTGAATGTTTGTAGTCAGGGTATATCATCTCTAGATTGACATACTTCCCACAAATGCTAATTGTACTGTGGCTGACCCTCTTCTTTAAGGTACTTACCTGGCAACTCCAAGCTTCGTAGCCTTAGCCCCTGCCTTCAGAAGTGTTGTAGGACTCTACAATCACAAAATAACTGTAATTTCTAATTTAAAATATTTAGATACATAGGCCCTACTGCCCTCTCAGGAGACTATACAAGGTTTGCTGAATTAGTCAATTAAAATTTCATATCTCAACTAAAATTTTGTCTCTCAACTTCCTAAACAGTGGCATTCCTGCTTTGGAGGTGTATTTGATTTTGAGACAACTGGTTAGCCGAAAGTGTGGCTTCCACCCTAAAGTGTGGTTTTCTGTGCTGTGAGCAGAGCATATTATGAGACTCATTGCTATTTGAAGGGAATGCCTCTGTTTCAGACCCAACTATTGAGCTTGTGCATGTTTTGAACTTAGTGAGGAAAGCTGTTTCTCTAGTGCTTGGAATTTAGCTGTAGCTGTCATGGCTTTTGATTGAAGAAGGTACCCCTGAAGATAAATCAATCAGCCTGCCGAGATGTAGTGAGTTCCCACATGCAAGGTGCTGTTTAAAGTGACTGGAGCAGTCCAGTGTGGTGGTTAAAAGAACAGGCTTTAAAGACAGATCTGGCATCAATGCCTGGCTTTGCACTTATTCAAACAGTGGAGAAAAGTAAGGATCAGACAGGCTAAATAACTTTCTCAGGGTCACATGGCTAACAACTGATGGATTCATCACTCCAGCTCAGATCAATATAACATTTCAGGCTTTCTCTTAGTTGCTGTTTTATATGCCTTACATTTTTTTCAAGATCTATCCTTTTTCATGGTTGGATAAACGAGCCCTGACAATGGTTAGAAGAGGGCAAGCACACTCACCTGGTTTGTAAAGAGGGGTACTTTATGGTTTCTACGTAAATACCTTTTTGAATATCCTTGCCCATTGAGTGATTTTGACATAAACCCTAAAGCAGAAGAAGATGAACTTCATCAAGAAATATTTACCTAATTTGGTATACTTCCCTAAGCAGAATTCTTATTTCATTCATAGTTTCCAGGTGTAGATAGCCATGTTCCATTTATGTCATGGCACCCACAGGATAAATGGGGATGAAGATAACAGGCCCAGCATTCCGCTCAGAAGGCCCCACAGAAGTGCAAGCTGTGAATCCCAAAGAGAAGACTCCAGTGTTAAATGGGGCCATCTAGAAGGTGCTGTAGTTTTTAAGCTCTTACGCAAGGCCGCTGACCTTTGTGTTAGGCACCCTCATCTTTAGAACCCACTTTCAGAGCCCAGTGGAGCTGTCCATGTAGCAGTTACTGAATGTTCTGATTGCCTTCAAATGTAATATTGGATATAATTTTCTACTTGTTGGTGAGCTTTTGCCTAATGGGAAGCAGCTCTAACTCTTTTCACACATCCCCCATCTCCCTGTTTGGGAAGAAACTTTATAATTTGTTTCTTTTGTTCTCTGCTACAGTAAGCTGCCTAGGTTAACCGTAAACAGATTCATAGAGTGGCAGCCCCACCTAAGACATGGGAGGATGAATGGTGGCAGTCTTAAGGTAGGGTCTTCAGCACTTACATAAATCATACTAGCAAAATACTCTAATTTATAGTATTGGGAGGGTTATTATTTACTGCTTCTTTAGAGAAATGTAGATTT